CCCTTCTCATACCCAATGCCCCCTCCATACAATATTTGTGTCTCTGGCATGCGTTTAAGTTTTCAGTTAATGGCTTTTAATGGCATTCCCTTTCTGCATTTGTTTCTTCTTGTAAAAATCTTAAATAAATATCAAAATCAATTAGTTGCGTAAACTTCCAAAAAAAAAGAGAAAAGATTCCATTGAAATCGATTCCATATATATCTGCCTGATTATTAATAAAAATTCCCTTTCCAGATAAGCTTTCCCCATAAATAATATCAACCACATCCATTTATCTTCCAGAAGCACACATTTGTTGAACAAACGAATATCATTTTGGAATCTGATTAATTAGCCACCTTAAACACCAACCCAGAGACATTCTATAAATACCGATTTGTGGTTGGTTTTCACTTTCCGCATATATATATATGTATATATTTCTAAATATTTTCCAACTAATTTAGCAGCCACTTGGAGTCATAAAGTTGCAGCCCAAATGGAAATGCATAAACCAATACGAGAAGACCACAAATTACCAAATTCAATCTATATCTTCAAGATTATATATATATCTTTGAAATGCGTAGCACATGTCTGCCCCTTGGGCTATGGGCTCTGGTCTCTGGCTAGAGGGGAATTTCAATAAGGCATCTCGCATCTCGGCGACTTGGCCAGGGGTCTTGTTTATAATTTATGGCGCTGTGGCTAATGGCCAAATTGCCCATAACAATAATTTGCACGCAAGCGCTTCCAACTCTGACTAATCTTTCATTTCATATTTATTTTTTGGTTTCTAGAAAAAAAATCTTATCGAGAGGCACTGCCATATATCACTCAAAATCAATATCAATATCAAGAAATACGAAAAAACAATTTACAACAATTGCTTAATTGAAACGCCAGGGCCACTGTAGAATTTAAATTTATGAAAGCATCAGGCCCCAAATCGAACCAAAATCATAAATAAATCGCGGGCTTATCAGTATTTTTTCGTTTCTGGCACTTTGTGGCCGATTTCAAAGGAAAAACGCCGCCGTTCTCCCCCGAAACAAAAAATTGGAAAAGTGGACAGCACATGACTCTTGATACCGATCCCAAAAGTATCCCTCGCTGACAGATGAACTTTGTACGCCACAATATCGGACTTTTTGAAGAGTCAGACAGGTCAGGTTGTACCCGATAAGCATTCTTTTTTTTATGATTTTTTTTCAGGTCATGCAACGGGTATTTAAATAAATATTTTTGCATAAATGACAGCTTAGGTGATTGACAAGCAAAGGTGAGGGATTTTGAAAAACAATTCTTATAGAATTTGTAGCTCTGGAAAAAAACCTCAAATTTCAGCCAGCTCTTAGGTAGACATGTATGTAGTTTCCCCCATTAGCATTTCCATGCCACATATGGCCGGCAAATGGAGGCACAACATCGGCTCAAAGGCAGACAATGGGCCTGCGGGACATGCGAGTGTGTGACAGGGCTTGTGCTGTGTTGTGTACTTCCCCCGATGTTTTATACCATTTTTTCGTAGGCGTAACATGTGTGGCATAAACAAAGATACAAAATGGACAGAAAATATCAACCGATATATGGGAGTATCTACAGGGAAGTATGCAAACGGCTGAGGAAGGCGTGAAACTGTTGATAGTCTATTGCACTTCGCTCTGTTTGTTGTTTCCTATTTTCCTTCTTTTTTTTATGGCTACAATGCAATAAAAATATTTACGATGCCAAAGCGCCAAATATGTTGGAGAATTGTTCAAACTGAGCCATGGGCTAGGGAGTGGAGCTCCTACGACCCGAGAGGGTTAATAAAATGTTGCACTTGTAGCAAGAAATCGAAGTTGGGAAGTGGTCTGGGCTGGCAGGGGAAGTTTATTTCGTTTTTATTTAAAAAGTTGATGGTAAACAATTCTATTGGAAGATAAAATCTAACAACTGATTTGAAATTTAGATATAAAATAGGGGGATTTCTGGTTTTGATTTTTAAGAGAAGTAAAGACTGTTCTCTTTAAAGATTTCCCCGTAGTTACAACTAGAAAACTAAATGAGCTGAAACATAAAATGACCAGAGGAGGAAAAAAAAACATTTCCCGGGAGGGAAACGGGAGCTTCTGAAGTGAGAACCAATGAACTCTTGGTATGCTGCAGATGCAACTGCATTCTCTATTCTACATTCTGAATTCGCTTTCAAAATAGCTCGACCCACACGTTCCTCCACCCAGATCCCAGACCCCAGACCCCATGGTCTATAGCACCCACCCACCTCTGTAAAGTGCAGGCGGCGGCTGCCTGCAATCAACGCACTTGTTCCTGTTTTTCTTTCCTTCTCATGGCGACCGTTGATGCTCCAACTTCTACAGTAGCCTCTGTAGCTGCTGCTGGCTCGTGATTTCTTGTTATTGTTGTAAACTATTTATGCATTTCGAAGTTTATTTGAAACACGAACAGCAACACAGGAATTCCCTGCATGGCATTTCAAATGTTGTTCAAGATTCTCATTCTTGGTGCTGGTTCTGGTACTGGTGCTGTTTGTTGATTTTATGAACTGTTTTTCTTGCTTCACTTGCTCTCAGTCGGGTGCCCTCCGGCCACATATGGTCACCTTAATTTCCGCAGGAGGGCAACAGAGTCGGAGGGAGCTGGGGGTGTTGCATCAAATAATTTATGCCTTTTTTTCCCTCGACTCTCGGTTTATTTTTTCAAGCGCATTTCAACAGCCAAAGCAATCAGCGCGTGTTGTTTTTCCTGCCCGTTTTTCGGGGCAGGAAACAGCACGAAGGGATGTCGGATGATGTACCACTCCACCAGAACCCCCTCATACATATATTGTATCTCCACTCGCTGGCACTCGACGGGTGGTTCTCCTCCGTCGGTATCTTGAAGATTCGTTTTGTGCCTTGAGGTGCGTTCGGTGCGTGATTCGCCTTACGTTGTTTACACTGACGCCATTAGGCCAGACGTGCCAGAAAGTTGAGTTCAATTCAATTGAATCAGGGGGCGATTGGCCCGGCCGGAGGTGCAAACTGATTTGGCCAGTTAGCCCTCAGCAGTTGGCTCTATTGTTTGGCCATGTTTTATAGAGGATTATCTATGATTTCTGTGATTTCTGATATTATAACTAACTCTATCTCTAATAACTATAAGGTTGCTTTATCTACAAATTTAGTCCTCTACAGTGTTGACTAACAAGTATGGCGTTAACCCTTAATGGGAGACTAGGGCTTATTTAGACCTTCGTTAATAAAAACACGGAATGTTCTCCAAAAGGGTTGAGAACAGTTTAAATCATCTCCATATGTTTCTATAATTTTATTTAGATTTGTTCTTAAGTAGTTAAAGTTGAAAGTATTCAATGTATTTCTAAAATAAAATCTTTAAAAATTAATATTTTTTTTGAAATTTTGGTAGCTAGTATGTTTTGTTTTTAGAATTTATTTTACATAAAAGCTAGACTTCATTCTTTCCTTCATAATTAAATTCCCCAAATCAGCTTACAACAAAAATTAAAAAGAGAATAATTTTTCTCCCACACTATAAAGGTTAAATATGAATCACTTTCCACTTTGCAACACTGTATCTTAATGAAATAGATATCAACCCTTATAAACAAATCATTCCCTGCTTTCGAATTTCTAATAAACTCGGAAATGTACACATTCTCATAAACAGACAGCTAGAATATGAAAATATATCTTTAGAAAATTGATTGACTGATCGACATGATCGACGTGATCATAGCCGAGAGGGAGTGCCTGAAACGGGGGACTGCCTGCCCTCTACAATTATAATTCAATTAACAGAATAATTCCATCCTTCTTCGGGTCTTAAGGAAAAGCGCCACATGCTGCGAAGGGAGAAGTTGCCTGCTTGGCATATTAATTTTTTCTGATTTGTTATTTTGTAATTTTAAACAAAAGCCCCCAGAAAGGAGTATAATATGTGACGGCGAGGAAGATCGAGTGAACGGATTGTGAATGATGATGACGATGTGTCGTTGCAGTGTGTCCGCCCATCTGGCTGAATCAATGTTTGTATTTATGGAAATATTCTCATGTTTTAATTACGAGAACATTTCGAAATGTCTCGCATAACAAATGAGCCTCGAACACAACACAGTACAAACACAAAATAATACAACAGCCGAGCGTGGAAAAAGTCGTTTCCCCCAAACCAACTTCAACAAAAAAGCTTCGACAGTTGGCCCGACAAGCCAAGGCGTCTGCTAACTAGACTGAAAGGCTTGGCCCAGGATATTTTGCATTAAAGACTCTATGGTATATGTATACCCTGCAATATGAGAGAATGATGGATAGGCGGAGACGAGAGCTGAAAGGCAGTCGAGAGCTGAACTCAACTGCCGGCAAAGGCAGAAAGAAGTCAACAGCTCGTTAACGTTAAAGTGGCAAAAGATATGCCCCAAGATTCAGGCTCTCTCTCTCTTTTTCTCTGCGATTCTCTGGGCTTCTCGGCTCAAAAGGGTAGACCAACAATGGGGCAACAAGTCGCGTCTGAAGATGCATCGCCCACGGCAGCCAAAACGAGAAAACCCAGACTCGAACCAGAGACCAGATACACAAGGAGAAACTGAAGGAAAGATGGTCTTCAAAATAAGGGGGTTTTAAGGGGTGTCTTCATAGATTCTTATTCTAGAAAATATTTATAAGTACTATATTTTTTAAATATGTTTATTTCAACTCTTGAATATCTTTCTGTGCATCCAGTAGACGGCTCGTTTTGAAGAGCAAAATTGGCGTTGAAAAGTAACTGCCAAGAACCGCAGAGGAAGGCGATTTTAATGTAGACTCCCAGGGACTTGAGCTCCTGGGCCTTGTTGGTCAACTGACTCCGACAGCAGCACAGGGTCACAGGAAAGGGCCCTGGCATTTTTCTCTCAATTGTGCGGCAAACTAGGCGCAATGAAGTAGCCAGTCAGTGCTTGGTGGTAAGGTCAAGCTTTCTGGCCTCTTATTTAGTATTTCTATCCAATGGCTTTAAAATAACTTCCAAAAACTTACCATTTTTTCCATTCCGTTGGCTTTCTGGTTGATTTCCTGATTTCTATACAAATCCCTTAAACTGTAATGAAATGCAAGAAAAAAACACCTGATAAGTTATCTGATAAATGGCAATTTTAGAAGCAAACATAAATCTTAAGCTTAAAGCCAGGCCCATAAAACGAAATCCCCCTTTCGAGAGATCTCGCATCTTGTTTATCGTTAAGGCCTCGGCCTGGTCTGGTCGTAAAAAAATGTTTATAAATCTCGTATAATTAGAAAATATTAAAAGCCAAATAACTTAAATATGCAATGAGCATAAACCGGGATTAATGCCTTTGGCGTAAAAACGGAAACTTTGGGGGACAATTTACAGTCTGGTGGCCGAAAAGGAAAAAAGGAAAAGAGTTATGTTCGTTGAGGCTGGTAGTTCGGGTAAATATGTTAATATTTGGACAATAAATTTGTGGGCGGCTAAAGAACAATTGCAGTTGTCTCTGCGGCAGCACTTCAAAAGCTGCCAGTGAAATGGGAAAGCGAAAGAAAAACAGAGCGGAAAAGCGGCAGTAGAGGCAGTAGCGGCCCCCGAAAGCAAACAGGAAAAAAAGGGGGGGAGCTGGTTGGAGTTTATCCCTCCAGAGTGGACTACTTTAATCACGCCACGGGATTAAGGGGCCAGACACTCGCCGCCGGATGATGAAGAAGTTGCGTGTGTGCTCACTTACAATTTAATTAACTTTTTACTCGACTTTTTTTCTGTTTTCCCATTTTTCCAGCATTTCTTATTAAAGAAGAGCGCGCCTCGTTGTTGTTTGCCTTAACCGGCACTCTTTGTACATATATTCATGGCTATTTGTGTATATAATGCAAGTTTAATCAGCCAGCGACAAATAAAAAGCCGCCGAGTCGCAGAAGAGGTTGCCCCCAAAGGCGGCAGTATCTATGTATCTGTTCGTGTGGGTGCCGCTAAAGATTTGCCTAACCAAACGGAGTATCTGAGATAAGTCCTGAGGAGAAAACAATACACAGTACTTGTCTGGCTAGGAGGTGCCGCCTTTGATTGCAATTTGCCAGGCCATGGCAGGCCAGGCCAGGTGTAATCTCTGGTGTAACCAATTCCAGATAAAGTTAAGCAAACGACAACAAAATGACAATTTTTTAATTACGAACGCTTTTGAGATAGCGCTGGAGATTAGGACCGAAGAATTGGAAAGAGATGCCACTTGGGTAATTTAATTTTTTTTGGGGAACTTCCCAAACAAGACAGAGTTTCATAATTCATCTGGCTTGAGATATTTATGACTTGTTTGGTAATTCTTTTGAAAGCAATCTCAGTTTCCAATTCTAAGAAGATGCCCATTTGAATCTGAATCTGATTATGCGATTCTTCAACAGATTTCCATAAAAATCTTAGAACCTGCTGAAGCTTCAGAACTTTTCAGACCCGTTTGGCTAATTAACTGGGAAAGACTCGCTGCGGAGGAATTGGAATTTGTAGGCCAATTAATTAAGCGCATAATTTATGGCAAAATATTCCCCCAACTGTCTCTCTGTCGATTGTCAACTTGATGATCAATAAAAGCTGAAAGAGGCAGTCACAGTGGGGGCAGGACTGAGGCGTATCAGTTTCGAAAAATGTTTAATTTATGACATTGCAAAAAAAAAAAAAAATAAAAACAGAAAACAAATTTATGAGTGAGCATTTAAATGCCCAACACGACGACGAGAGACGACAATGAATATGTATTGTGCCGAGAGGAGTATCTTTTGTTTTTTTTGAAAATTGAAATTCCAATGAATCTCAAGGAGCAGAACCTCCTGCCCCGTTCCCCCTCGAAAAAATCATCGTCATCGGTGCAGGAAGCAGCAGTCAGTCGCAGGCGCAGACCTTAAACAAACAGAAATTAATTATGTTTCGATGCGAGAGCCGAAAAAAACAGATACTCCGAGAAAGGAATACAGATATACATAGCTACAGATACAAGAGAACCTGATGGCTGGCTGAAAATAAAATTATTTTGTTCAGAGTTATTCTGTTTATAAGAAAAATATGTTTTTGTTTGTTTTAACACGAGCCGGAGCTGGTCGTTTCCTTTTCATTTCCACTCCAAGAGAGACGGAACGGCGAGCGCACATATGCGAGCCTACACATGTATGTAGATGCATCCCAGAGATGCGTATCTGTTGGATACATGCAAGAGCAACTTCAGTTGAGCGATGCCTTCTATTTTTGGTATTATTTCAATTAATTTGCTAGCGTTTGCTGCCTCTCTAAACAAAGTTGCATCCGTGAGATACAAAAAAACAAAATTTATGACTAATATTGCATGCCCGATTGCAGTCTCCTCCGGACGAGGCGGAGATGCTTTTTAATTAGCTTGACATTTATTTGGGCTCTGTGTCTGTCTGGCTGCGGTTTTTTAGGGTTAACAGCGCGTAGATTGATATCTTCAAGTTCATTAGAGTTGCAAGTTGCTTTAATTGGAAATATGCACAGCGGGTTGAGAGACTGAGACCGGAGACTGAGTCCCCATCGTCGTCGTGCCACACTTGGGTGAGAATTAATGATGCCTGCTCGAATGCCCTCCTTCCGCGGGATCTCGATCTGAATTCTGTTTAAACTTGGGCAGCTCTTCTTCTGGTTTCCTTTTCATTATTCGTGTCTTTTCTGATTTTTTTGTGGTGCAGTTGCCTGTTTATCTTTGGGCTTTGTTAACTGATTTCAAGGGAAGCTTTGGAGGAATCAGTCGCCCTCCTACAGGGTCGTTTTAATTAACTGCTTTCTATATAAGGCATATTAAATAAGTTTCCCTTTGGCCTGTTTTGTTTGGATTCTTACAAGGAATGAGTTATCAAAAGAAGGCTTTCTAAGAAGGCTTTAGAATTGCATTTAAGGACTTGTGTTATTTGTTTCAAGAGCCTATGCTTGGGGTTTATGGTTTTCTAGTAAATTTTTTAAAAAATGTAACATTTTATGCTTTATTTTTATTAGTTTTAAATGCATTACCCAGACCTAACCCTGATTAGAATTTTATGCATTTTAAATAGCCCTGATATGGTGATCTGTTCAAAATTTCCATTTGAGACCCCCAACTTGTTGCAACTCCCCACTCTCTCTGGAGAACACCTACATCCACCCGCATGGCTTGTTAATTTTCATTCTAGAATTTTGTGTATTCTTTTGATGACTTGTGAACTTGTCTATTTGTTCCCTCATATAAGAAACAAAATTAACACCTAGTCGCAACATTTCCAGCTAAAACCCACACACTCCAGGCAGCTGAAAAATATATCCCCTCGCCATCAGAACTCGCAGCTCTAACAAGGTGTCGTCTTGCTAAATGAATTAGTCTTGAGGCGAAACTAAAGAATACAAAAATGTCGTAAATATATATATAGGTATGTATCTGTGGCTCCCACACGTGCTGGTATCCATTAGATTTATAACTGACACTTTTAGTTTTGTTCCCCGGTTCTAGTATAAAATGCAAATTGCTTCTCCAGCAAGCCCAATATTTGCCAATTAGCATATTGGAGAAGTACTCCCTAACTGGAAATAAATTCTATTTAAAATGGGCCCAATGCCGAAGGTAATTTTTTGGAAATCTATGTAGGTAAGAGGTAGCGGCAAGGCAAGGTGTATCTGGTATCTGTATCTGTGTCAGGGTGTGTAGTCAGTGTGTGAGTGTGTAGTCTGCCTTGTGTTCTTCTATTACCGTAATTTTCTACTTGATTTCTGACGCTCATAAATCATCATCAGTTCTCCCTCAGATAGCGTCGTCGTCGTCGCAGTCGTCGTAGTCGTTTGCCTTTGTCATTTCTCATTGTTATTGTTATTGTTCCTTCTGTTGTTTAGGTAGTCGTCGATTTTTGTTGTATTTCTGTGTTGATTTTTATGGAATTTATCTCTACAACAAGAACAACAAGCCAGCCAGACCGGGCCAAGCCAAGCCAAGCCAAGCACATTTAGCGACACAGTTAGCAAGCAAGCCCAAGCACCTCCAGCAACAAGTTTCAACTTTTTGTTTGATGTATCTGCCAGATACGAAAGGTGAAAAATTGATAGCTTGCTCGCCTGTCTAACCAAACTATGCATAATAAATGTTTTTCGTAAACAATCGTCGAAAAAAAATGAATAGAAAGAAACCGAGAAACAATAAATTTATTGAAAAATTATAAAAAGATAAATCGGTCTGGGGAGGAGGGAGTCTCTCGGTTTCTCCAAAGATGGTTTCCTGAACAAAAAAAATATATGCAAAGATAAGCAAATAAATAAATAAGTAAACTGCCATTAAAAGGCCATTTCAATCTTGATTGTTGGCCAAAGACAAATAGTTTGGTGGCATGCCAAAATAATAAAAAAAAATAAAAGTCAAAGATCTAAGAAGGCCGAAGATTTTCGGTGATTTTTGGTGATTTTTCATTTAAAAACAAATAATCCATAGAGGCTGGCTTGTGTTGGCTAATTGCAGAGCCACTTCCAACGAGCCAAGAGCCATGGGACCATAAATAATCAAACCCTAATAGCCGGCAAACAAAATATTCAAAACAAACACACATTCCTCCGGGTCGAGAGGCCCAGAAAGAAAGCGTCTCAGCCAAAGACAGGGGGAACCAAATTATGATCCATGGCAATCATGTCAAATTGATTTCGGTTTTCTTTTCGCCTTTTTTTAGACTCCAACCACAATTGGATGGCAGGAAAACCCACATATACCCAAAAACAAAAGAGAGAGAGCCTCAAGCCTAATGATATGACTGAGTGAAGGGGGAAAATTGAAGGAGCTGCAAAATAAATCAAACAAAACGAGCAGAAAAAACGAGGAATGGAGGCCCGCGGTTTGATGAATTGCAGCACGGGGTCCGAGTTGACTTGGCCAGGTTGATGGACGACTCCGAGGGACCTGCTTGTGGCCCGTCTTCAGTCCTGACTCCAAAATTAATCAATACGTTGTTGTTATTTAAACAAGCCATGTGTGTACACAAGACCAGGCCCAAGAGTGTCCATCCGAAAAGGGGAAATGTTTTTATAATTGCGAGGGTCGTTGCTCGGGTTGTTGGTAAATTATTGGTTGGCCATCGGTAGGGAGTGGCCTTAGACTCCGGCCCAGAGGATAGCCACCAACAATTGTGGGTTTTATAGTTATAACAAGATCGGTAAATGATCATGGGAATACGTATACCAGCAGTTGCAATCGGAGGCGGAACAGGCAAAAGGTGGAATTGAAAGCCACATGTGGTGGCAGATGATGATTGCGGTCACCCTAATTTCCAAATGATACTGCAACATTGTGGTAATGTCAACGGGAGTGATGATGGCTTAAAAGTAGGTTGATATTCAAATAACCCACATTAGTATGCACATTAGCGCCTAAGCTGACAGCTCCATCGGAGTTGGAAAAAACTTCAACAGGATACGAGACTGACAAACCTGCCGCCAGTGACAAGTTAACTGACAACCCACCGATGAATTGAGTGACTGACTGACTCACTAGCCGAGTGTCACTGCGATTGTCAATAAATTTTCGCATCAGCCAATTGCTGCGAAATAAAAACGAGATAATCCCCACCAGACACCCAAAAATCAAGAAAAAAACAAGACACTAACAAGGCTGGAAGAAAATGAAAAAAAGACTCGGGCAAGTGGAAAGAGTCAACAAGAGACGAGGGCGAAATTTATAGCCAAGCCCTGAGTAGTGGAGAAGACAAAAAAAAGCCAGGGCCCAACAGAAACCAAACAAAACATAATTTATGGCCGACTTTTGGGATTCTTGGATGGTCGGGAAGAACGCCAGGTAGCCCAGAAACGTTTGTAAAATGATCACCTGTTCTGAAGGTAGAGACAGGCCGAGAAGGCAGGACAGGAGATGGCCCATAAGCTGCGGGAGGTCACTGGGCACAGTGGTAAAGGATTGCCTCTAAAGGAACTAAACCTTAAGTTATCTTCCAAAAACTTGTCTTAATACTAAAAGGATCTATTCCACTGTGCAAGACAGGCAACACTCGGCAATTGCAACCAGCAGAGACGGCATTTGAGTGTCGCCCCAGCAGGCGGTCGAAAGTCGTTTGTGACAAAGCGCAATTTTTCGAAATTTTCGAATTGCGAAAGTGCGGGCCGGGACCCGTAGGAGAGGCCCCGAGAAACCGAGAATCCAGAATTGGTAACTGCGAGCTGCCAGGGCACCGCATGATGTCCCTGTATGTAAATTGATATTTTTTTTATTTTCGGCTTCGTCCAGGCAGGCAACACCTTTTGCCTACCGGGTCCTAACCTTGAGAGCGTCTGTCGCGTCTGTTAACTGAAAAAATTAATGAAATCATTTCTCGTCTCAACGATCCAGAGTCCCAGCCCGAATCTACTCCTTTGGCTTCATGCGAAATCCCAATGGCAGAGCAATAAAAATGAAATAAAAAAATATTTAACGACACATTTTGTGGCAATCGAATGAGGGGGAAACCTGTAGACGAAGGTGTCACGTTACGCATAATTTATGACCACAGAGAAACATAATTTTCCACACATACACGCACCAGATACAGATACTAAGATACAAAGAGAAGAGAAAAGAAAAGAAGAAAAACTATCTAGTGGGATCTCGGACACGAAACGATCGACATGCAATGGCTTATCTTGATTACAGATTAAGCCGAAGACCGGAGACAAACTCCAACTCTTGTCCAGGTAGTAGAGCCACCACCTGCAATCTCTATCTAACCATCGTGCCAGCCTATGTCTATGCCTATGCCTCTCCCCACCAGCCAATACTGATTTTCCTGCTCTATCGATTTGGTAGGCTAGTTGGTTGGTTGGTAGTATATTTCTGGTAGTCTCGGCTGCCGCGGCAGCCAAACTTTGACAACAAATAATGAAATAATGTAGACACACACACGCATTCCAGACCCCACTCCCCAGAGAGAGATAAGATTTCAGTTCAGTTCGATTCGTTGTGGCTCCCCCCATTCATTTGACGGCAATATCGATTCGAAACCAACGAAAAAAAAAGAAATTGTCGAAAAAATAGAACCTAACAGCCGCAATTTTTGTTGTTGAGTAAACAAAGTCAGATAAGATTCAGACTGAACGAATAAAACGGTAAAAATAACGAGTGAAGAGCATTAACTGTTGGGGTTACATATATGTATGTTGTATGAGTCGGTAGACCCTATGGATTTGGGGATATTATCGAAAGGATCTATTCAAAAGTGATTCCCACAGTGATTAGGCTTCAATTTAGACTTGTATTCCACAGGTTAGACAATAAATATTTTATTATAATATTATAGGGTTTTTTTCTTAAGTATTCGGTATCCTAGAACAAAAACAGACCAATAACATATTAATTTGTATTTAAAAAACATATTTCAATGGCTGAGCTCCCCCTATATTTTGACTGATTGACATTTTCCATTAAACAGATCTCTGGCAGCTGATCTTTGGGCCCCCTAGGCCTTAATGGAAATCTGTACCATCCTTGTAGATAATATTTACCTGTGGAGCTGGTCCAACTTTTGCTGTTAATCCCAAAAAAAAGTCTTTGGTGGTAATTAAAAACCGCCGTGCGTCTGTCAAAGTTAATCCAATTTCACGTCTGCTTACATCAAACACTCTTGCACACACACACACATATACGCGCGCGCGAGCACCTGGAGATGCAAGCATGCACACAGATACGGATGGGAGTATCTGTTGGATAGCCAGATACACATGCAACCCGGCTCGTAGAAACTTTGGCGGTCTTGCAAGTAATTTTTACTTTATTTTTGGACAGATTTTTTAATTAAAATTTCGTGTTGCGCCAAATGTTGCTATCTCAGGTGCTGAGGAGGTGTAGGATGGATGCTTGTTTTCGGCTTAATTTTCTACGTTTTTTTTTGTTGTTGTACTTTGGTGAGCGCCAAAAAAAATCCAATTTCAGTTGACGCTTGTCGTCGGGCACATCGATCACGGATCGGCGGAATAGCGACCGTTGAAAATAACAACAAATCTTGTTTCTTTATAGCAATTTTCAACACACATTCTCACATGGCCCGGCCACAATTTGTATTTTCATAACTCGTTTTGTATATCTTGTCGTTCGACGCCACTCGGTGGCTATGTTATTAAACTTCTTTCATTCGAAGAGTATTGTTATTTGTACTGATTCGTGGACAATAGCATCCGCACCGGGCACTAACTTTTTATTTGTAATTTCTTTATTGATTAATTGGCGTTTGAAAGGTGTAATTAGGGTTCGCGAGACTGGCTGGCCCGAAACTACTATTGTGTTTACGCGGAGCGAACAGAAAATCATCCGCCACCGAACCGAACGCTGCGATCGTCGAGACTCATTTGAAAGAGCGCTCGCCAGAACCGAAGAGCGGCAGCCGCAGCTCGGCCAGGTTCATAGTGGGTGGGGGTGCCGGGCGGTGAGAGAGAGGTCGAATGCGAGAGCAAGAGTGTATCTATACACTTGAAGAAATACACTTGATGGAAGATGCTTATTAAATATTTTTAATATTTTATAAAATGTATATGAATTTAAGGTAATATCATGTATGTCTCTTCTTAAAGATTTAAGATCTGGGTACTTAATAAAAAGTGTTTTATTTTGAGACATTTTAGTGTAGCATTCCATAAATTTAGTTAAATAAATGTTTTTGTTTACGGTTTTGTTTTCTTATAGCATTGTTTTTGCCCTGCCTTGCATTTTTTTACTTTATGTATAAAAAAATAAACAAGTCAGGGAGTTTTCTTTTTATTTGTGTTATCTAAGGCATAGTCTAAGGATATCTTAAGGCTTTTTAGATAGTTTAGATTTTTGTCAAATAGCTATTTAAAATTATATATTTATATTTTTTATTTCCTTTGATAGATAACTAGGTTTCTACTTCATTTCCTACTGGTTTCCTACTATTTAAATATTTTTCTAATATCATCGTTTTTTAGCTATCCCTAACCCAATTGCACTTTCTCAACCCCCGAAAAAAAATTGTCAACTCTCTCCCTGGGTGACAAATCCCTGACTAGATTGACAGCTACTGTTGCCCTCCCACTTTCCAGACACCCTGCTCATTTCCTCTCCCTGTTCCTGTGGCTGATTGCTCTTCCTCCGGTCTCCGGTCTATGGTCGCTGCACATGTGCTGCGTTTCGCATACAAATCTGCCACCCCCTCTGGATCCCGTCAGCCCCTTTTTCCGACGCACTTTTCAGAGGCATCTGTTGTTGTCTGGCTGATTTTCTGGTTCCAACGCACTCTTTCCGGCTCTCTCCCTGATTTTTCCAGTGCACCCTGCTGACATTTCTGCAAGTTCTTGTACTTTCCCCGGTGGTAGAAATACTAGTACAGGGTGTCGCTTGTGGTCTATCCCCTCCCCGGAAAATCACAGGAACTAAGTGAGCCAGACCAGGCTTTAATTGCAATTCCTTCCTGTTTATATGCTCACCTTGCTAATGAGCGCACGTTCCAACTGCCAGCTCTTCGGCTCACTGGCTCTCTTCGATGTCCTCTCACTTTTCTGATAACTCTCCTCCAGGTAAGGTTCGGTCTCTCACAACTGGTTTTCTGGTTTTTATCTGCTAAGGGTCTTGTTAAAAGTAATTCGTAACACGTTGTTACCAGATAACGCCGTCTTCTCTGCTTCTCTCTCTCTCTCGGTCTCACTGCCTACCTCTATCACCTCTCCAGGTATTCTGGACGCCCCCCATAGCCCCTCGTTCCTGTGTTGTTGCTTTTGCCTTGTTAGCGTCATCGTTGGCTTGCTAAAAGAGCGATAAAAAGGTAGAACACAACAACAACAAAAAGAATAAAAACTTCCAGATCCCCGTCAGGTTTTCGAAGGAGAAAGACATACAAAGACTGGAAGTAAGAGCGAGAGGAGAAGAGATCGCTTGCAAGCCAGGCTCACGTTTTGACTTTTGGCTTTGACTTTGCTTTTATTGTTGGTGCGGTTCAATACACCCTGTTCTTTTAGCTGCAGGGTGCCGGTTAAAGATTTCTCCATCCCATCTCTGGCCGTGCTCCTTCCGCCTCCTCGTCGCCCCCTTTTTGTGCTCCTGGCAAGCCGGTTCTTTGCTCCTCTCTCTCGCCACAGACCACATGTGGTGCACTGTTGTTGCAAGTATGAGTGATTTCGCCTAGTTAGTTAGGCGGAGCTGCCAGGTATGCTGAAGCATCGAAAAAATAAACAAGGAATAATATATGTCTGGTGATGGAGATCGAAGTATTAATACCCTAAGAATATTAAAGGGGGATCTAGGTTTAAACAGAATAGCTCTATAAGAGTGATTGAAGAGCATCTTGCCTCATAAAGAAGCCTCAAATCCAATTATATCTTTTCAAATTAAATTAGGAATCTAAGAAATTAAATCCTTACAATTCTTATATTTTCAAAATTGTTAAATATATCTAAGAATTATTCTAATCGCCACGAAATCATACTCTCCCTCTATATACTAAGTGTATCTTGAAGTCCAAGTCCCACCATAAGGTGCAGAAAAATCTCATGTTTATATGCATTTCTGGGGGCTGAGGAAGCTCCAAAGTCAGATCCACCATCCGCCATCCCAGCATCGAGCATAAACAACAACAGCAACAAGCGAATCGTGCACTTGGGCCGCTAATGAACTTACAATGCACGGCTTGTTGTTCGAAAACGAAAACCAGAGGAAAATGCAGGATCGTTGAAAAGGGGGCACAGCGGAGGGAGGACGGGGGATAAGCACCCACACAGAAATGCCGAAACACCCCCCTCCCCGCCCGATTAGAGTTATTTGCAAACTGTGAAACATGAACTCGACTCTAGATGGCCAACAGAAACTCCAAGCTGGATCCCAAAACCCGATGATTGACCCACGAGGAGGTTCCCGCGTTCGTGCCTCAATCAGTTTGGCCAATGGGCAGGGCTCACAACAAGATACAGTGAGAGAAAAAGATAAGGATATAGGGATTCATATTTTTTTTAAGATTTTAAGCCTAGTTGTATGCTACACTTCTTCTAAGGGTTAGGGAAAGATGTAAGATTAACCAGCTCTGTTTAATAAATTTTTAATATTTTTCAGGAATATTTTCTTTGTTAAATTTTTAATATTTCCTTTAATTTTAAAAACCTATCCTTTTTTTACAGCGTAAGCCCTAACTCACTCCCCGCCGTCATGATCATGATCAGTAAAACTAACAAGAGGTGTTGCCTCTGTCGTTGTTGCCTTTTCGAGTCCCATGTATCTGTATCTGTTCAGGCATCAGTTCGTCATCGTGATTTTCCTGGGTGGTACCCAGATCCCCCTTTAGCTCCAGCTATACCCTGTCGCCCCCCCACCTCCTGACATGCCCTTTGTTTGTACTTTGTCGATCGATCGTCTGCGCTTTTGTTTGTTTCTCAGGGGGAATTTCGCCTTAACTTTAACTAGACAACCAGTGGCGTTGTTGTCTTTGTCGCTAGTGTTGTTGTCGACTTGCTGGCTGTTTGTTGTAGTCTGGACTGCACCCGGCGCTCCGTCAATGGGCATTAAAGACATCCCATAACAGCTCACTTCCCTGGAATTGCTTCAAGCTCCTCGCATAGCATCGCTTTCCAAGACGATTTCAGTTTTTGGCCCGGACCAGCCTGCCACTGCAAAGACCACTAACTGACAAATCAATTTGGTCCCAAGGACTCCAAGAATTAAGCAGCAAGTCAGACACCAATTTACAAATGAGTTGAAACAATTTAAAGCTCATAAATCTTGGGGATTAATTGAAAGACCATTAATCACAATGTAACATGGAAATAAATGGTAAGAACTCATTGAAAAAATTTCAAAAACATGGTTCCCAATTCTTAATTTTTGTAAAGAAAAATGTGTGTAACTAGGCTGTAGCTTGGTGGTTTCTAAAAGTTCTAGAGTTCCTGATTTTATAAATTCTAGTAGCTTAATTTTCGATCGAAAACTGAAAACAAAATCCGTGAGATATCAATAAAAAAGTGTATCAAAAGTTAAGATTTTGGGCACCAATTTATTTTTCAAAAACCTTGCTTCGATTTTCTTCATTTTTTAAAAGAAAAATGTGAAAAACTTCACTCATGCTTGCCGTATTCAGCAATGTTATACATTTCTGATCTTAAACCATTAAGTAAAATTATTTTTTATCGAAACATGGCACCAAAAATGGTAAACATTGAAAATTAAAAAAAAAAAAATTTTTGGCCAAATGAAAGGATATAATAAACATTTTAAACCCTGTTGAAAAATGTAAAATATTTGTACCAAATATTATATTTTATACATCTAATGGTAGCTAAGACCTCTGAGTAAGTTGAATTTAAATAAAATGAAATATTAATAAACATCCTTGACACCATTCAAGATCATCAAAGTAAAGTAAACAATTTAATTAAGAACATTAATCCCTCATTAGCAGCTCTAGCAGCTAGTAGAACGCAATTGCAAATGATAGCCATTATCAATGTCATCGCCACAGAAATGAGTTCAGTCCCCGGCATCGGAGCTACGAATTCCGATCGTGCCAACGCTGTTGATAGAGTAGGGAATTCTGAGTAAAAAGCCGGACGGACGGAAATTTAATGCGCCACTACAAATCTCATTTTCCATAAATAAGCACGATTTATGACACACAGACGGCGGGGCATCGAAATATATATTATTACATATAATTATCATTATCGCAAATGAACAAAAAACGATGATGTGAAAAAGAGGAAAACAATTGTCAATCACACGAAATTATCTGTTCGATATAGGGAGGTGAGGTAGGTGCCAGAGTGTTTGGCACGCATGGCAAACATTGACCCAACTGCAGTCCGGAATCCGGATCATAATAAACCATTAAAGAAAATTAAGATATAACAATTCAGGCCATAAAAACTCCACACGAGAATGTGAGAAGGGAGAACGGCAGGCAGACATCAGAAACGAACAAATAATTCACACCATTCTGAAGCAAATTATGGCATAGTTGGGATAGTATTCCATTCTTCCGATAACCGCACGTCACGTCCGAAGATAACCCGCATAGATATGGCTCCCCAGAGTTCTACGACTTCAAACCATCCAAAAAATACAAATAAAAAAAAAACCGAGTACCATATTGAAATTTATGAGCCAGCTAAATTGACAGGAGGGCTGCAAGGGTGACTTTACCCAAAAATATATTGATATATAAGGCCAGAGCTCGAAAAATATATAATTTCGGCTACCGCATAATAGAGCTTGTAAATTACCAGTACACATACGAGAGTATTGCTCCAGCTTTTGCCTCGAAAATGACTTGGCCCAGATGTTGCCAACTCCGGAAATCGCTTCCAATTCATTAAGCCAAAGTGGAGAAAACCTTAACCAACATGA